ATGATGCTGAGTGAAAGAAGTCAGACACAGAAGACTTCATATTCCTAGTCCTGTGAAATTCCAACAGAAGGCAAAACTACAGAGATGGAAAATGTTAGTGGTCACCTGATGTGGGGTGGAAATGAAGACTTCCTGCTCAAGAGAATCTTCTGAGTGAAAAACGTGTCCTAAAACTGGATTGTGGTGGTGGATTTACACCTGAATAAATTTAGTAAAGGACTTCCCCAGTGGCTCAGCTGGTAAAAAACTCGCCCACCAATGCGGGAGACAAAAAGAGATGCCGGTTTGATCCCTGGGTCAGGAAGATCCCCTGAAGGGAATGGCTACCCATTCCAGTGTTCTTGCCTGGAAAATCCCATGGACAGAGGAGCCCGGCAGTCTATAGTCCATGGGATTGCAAATGGTCAGACATGACTGAGCACCACACCCCTCCCCCCACACACACGTTTAGTAAAACCCATCAAAGTGTACCCTGATATGAGTGAATTTTATGGTATGTATATTATACTTCAACAACACTTTTCCAAATAAGATGATCTGCTGGTTGTGCAAATCTAGGCCAAGGATGCCAAGGATGCCCTGCTGTTGACAAGGATGGCTGAAAATACAGTAATGTTCTGGGAACATCAGTGTTATGGATGGGTTAGTTCAGGCCTGCTCAGAAAGCTTTGACATATTAAAAAAATTATTTATTTGGCTGCACCAGGTCTTCATTGCAGCACATGGGATCTTTTTTTTTTTTTCCATTTATTTTTATTAGTTGGAGGCTAATTACTTTACAACATTGCAGTGGTTTTTGTCAAACATTGAAATGAATTAGCCATGGATTTACAACATGGGATCTTTAGTTGCAACATGTGGGATCTAGTTCCCTGACCAAGGATCAAACCCAGGCCCCTTGCATTGGGAGTTTGTAGTCTTAGGCACTGGACAACCAGGGAAGTCCCCAAGAAGCTTTGACATATTAAAAATCAGCTTAAGATTAAATTTAATATAGAAGGTTTACACATCAGTCAATAAAGGTGTTGTCCCTATTATTTCCAGAGGCTCATCGAATTTTATGAATGACATTGTAGAAGGTGAAATGTATGCCCCCGAGAGACAAAGAGTTGGATGAGTTTGGGTAGAATCCAGGGTAGGGTAATTTGTGTATTAAGATAACGGTTTTCTACTGTATGGAAGTTCCTTAAAAAACTAAAAACAGAACTACCATATGACTCTAGTAATCCCAGTCTTGGGCATATACCTGGAAAAAACCATAATTCAAAAAGATAACGTGTTTCTCAATATTCATTGCAGCACTGTTTATAATAGCCAAGACAAGGAAGCAACCTAAATATCCATTAACAGATGAATGGATAAAGATATACTACATAAATACAAGGGAATACTACTCAGTCATCAAAAGAAATGAAATCATGCCATTTGCAGTGAATTTGATGGACCTAGAGACTGTCATACAGAGTGAAGTAAGTCAGAAAGACAAAAATAAATGTCGGATAATGTTGCTTATTTGTGGAATCTAGAGAAATGGTACAGATGAACTTATTGGCAAAGTAGAAATAGAGACACAGATATAGAGAACAGATGTATGGATACCAGAGGTAAGGGGGAAGGAAGGCAGTGGGATGAATTGGGAGATTGGGATTGACATATATGTATGAAATAGTTAAGTAATGAGAATCTACTGTACAGCACAGGGAAGTCTAGTCAAAGCTCTCAGTTCAGTCAGTTCAGTTCAGTCGCTCAGTCTTGTCTGACTCTGCGACCCCATGAACCGCAGCACGCCAGGCCTCCCTGTCCATCACCAACTCCCGTTGTTTACTCAAACTCATGTCCATCAAGTCGTTGGTGCCATCCAGCCATCTCATCCTCTGTCGTCTCCTTCTCCTCCTGCCCCCAACCCCTCCCAGGATCAGGGTCTTTTCCAGTGAGTCAACTCTTCGCATGAGGTGGCCAAATTACTGGAGTTTCAGCTTCAGCATCAGTCCTTCCAATGAACACCCAGGACTGATCTCCTTTAGGATGGACTGGTTGGATCTCCCTGCAGTCCAAGGGACTCTCAAGAGTCTTCTCCAACACCACAGTTCAGAAGCATCAATTCTTCAGCACTCAGCTTTCTTCCACAGTCCAACTCTCACATCCATACATGACTACTGGAAAAACCATAGCCTTGACTAGATGGACCTTTGATGGCAAAGTAATGTCTCTGCTTTTTAATATGCTATCTAGGTTGGTCATAACTTTTCTTCCAAGGAGCAAGAGTCTTTTAGTTTTATGGCTGCAATCACCATCTGCAGTGATTTTGGAGCCCCCAAAAATAAAGTCTGACACTGTTTCCACTGTCTCCCCATCTATTTCCCAAAGCTCTAGGGTGACCTAAATGGGACGGAAATCTGAAAAAGAGGGGATATATGTATAGCTAATTCACTTTACAGCAGAAACTAACACAGCATTGTAAAGCAACTCAACTCCAATAAAAATTAATTTAAAAATTATAAAAAGATTGTTTTCCAGAATATAGCACCCTGGACAAGGGGGGAGAACCCCAAAAGACTCCCTCACACAAACAAAGAAAACACTCTGACTGACTTAGGGTGGAGACAGACCAGGCTGGAATCCAGTTCCACCCCTCCCTGAGGTTGAAACGTTTTCATCTGTGAAGCAGGCTCACCACTGCCACCTGTGGGGTGCGGTTCTGAAGGTCAAATGAGCGGATCCAGGGAAGGCAATGGAGGGGGAACACTCTGCCGAGGCGGTTTCACTCCAGGGCCTGAGCCTCTGGCGATGCCCCAACAGGAATCCCTGGGACAGGGGATGTGCAGTGGACCAACGCATGTAAGGCTTCAGTCTCTCATCTTCCCAGAGCATATCACAAGGCACAGCTCTTGAGTATCATTTTCTCAATTTTCAGGAACTTAGTGGAAGAAAGAGTGATGCACTGAGGCTTAGGTGCAGGGAGCATCTAAGTCTTCACCCCGTGGTCTGCCCAACACCCAAAGGATGCAGCACATCCAGCAGAAGATGCTACGGAAGATGCTCCTCAGTCCAGTTCGGGTCTATTTGTTTTAGCATGTACAATGCCTCCTGCAGAGTTTCCAGACTCCCAGTCATCACTGATGTCTAGGAGACAGAGATACACACTCCTGTAAAAAGATGCTGTCGATCAGCAACAGACATCTTTCTTCCTTTTTTTTTTTTTTAGTTCTACCAGTTTATTGCTACCAACCCATCTCCCTCCACCCTCGTGCACACATGCTCAGTCATGTAATCCCATGGACTTCAGCCCACCAGACTCCTCTGTCCATGGATTTTTCCAGTGGGTTGCCATTTCCTTCTCCATTTCTTCCTCTCTTAAGAAAATGTACATCATCTCTGCACAGAATCTAAAATACAGGTAAGCAAGAAAAATTGTAAACAACCTCTCAAACACGCACGACCGAGATATGCTCATATATTTTTTTAATTTTTTATTCATTTATTTGACTTTTGACTGTGCTGGGTCTTCGTTGCTGCGCGTAGGCTCTCTCCAGTTGTGAGCGGGGTCTATTCCCTAGTGCGGTGGACGGGCTTCTCACTGCAGCGGCTTCTCTTGATGTGGAGCACAGGCTCTAGGGTGTGTGGGCTTCAGCAGTTGTGCATGAGCTCAGTAGTCGCTCCGCGGCATGTGGAATCTTCCCGGACAGGGATCTAACCTGTGTCCCCTGCCCCAGATATGCTCATGTCAACATTTCCGTTCATGTCACTGTAGTCCTCTCCTCTGGGAACATGGGCACGTGTCAATATATGACAGAAGCCACACCAGAGCCAGAGGACCGGGGTTCAAACCATGTCTCATGATGTGAACGTGTTAGTCGCTCAGTCATGTCCAATTCTTTGAGAGCCCATGAACTGTAGCCTGCCAGGCTCCTCCATCTATGGGATTGTCCAGACAAGAATACTGGAGTGGGTTGCCATTTGCTTCTCCAGAGGATTTTCCCCACCCAGGAATCAAACCTGGCTCTCCCGCATTGCAGGCAGACTCTTTACCACCTGAGCTACCAGGGAAGCCCAATATGTAGACTTGTGGCCCGGTAAATCAGGGAAGATGACAGTATGTTCCTCAGAACTGGACATGGCAGAGGACAGTGCTTACGGTGTGAGATCAGGATGCTTGAGGCAGGAAGGGCATCTCCCACAGTTGCTGGGGTCTGCATGTCCACGTGTGTGCACCTGTCTGTTGGTGGGTGAACAGGCCTGGACTGACTGTGTGCACATGTGCAGCTCTTATGTCCAAACCGACAACACAGGATCCAACTTAAGGCAACATGCTTTTTTCACACGACTTACCATGAAAATATTTTCAAGGAAATAAATACAGATTTGCATCTGCCTCTTAGTGGCTCTGGTGTCTCCCACTGTACAGATGTACCATCCTATCTATGCTTTCCAACTGCTGATGGTCTGCATAATCATTTGGAGTTGTGTTTATGAGCTCTCCCAGTAGGTATCACAGAAATTCAAAAGGAAGTCAAAGATCAGAAAAGCAATGGTCCACTAGATCAAAACAAGACTATTTTCCACTCCTTTGAACCAACCTCAACTTAGTGAAGTGGCTTATTCAGCCCACTCAAGTCTAGTTATGATTTAAATCAGAAGCTATAATTTAATACCTGCTCAACATTAAAAACAGTAAGATCATTTGAATACAAATTTTACTTAATAAAAGGTCTACATGATTCTTAACAGAATAAAAATCAGAAAAACTTCAAACGCTTCCCTTCCAACCCTGTGGATGCCTCTGTGTTGCTGGGCTACCAGCCCCACCCCATGAACACGCAGCCTGGACGGGTGCGTCAGGCACCGCTGGGCACCAGGGAAACCTAGGTTAGAACACGCCTAACCCATCTTCCAATCAGAAGTGAACGCTGGCCTTCCAAGTGGCAGGTGAGGTATGTGCAAGGCTAGAAATCTGAAGGGTCACAGTCTTCCTCACAGGAAGTCAGCCATGAGTCTTGCTCCTAGTTTGCATGTCTATTGGCCTGAACTGTACGAAAAACCGGCTTGTCCACAAACTCCACGGTGCACAGTTCCGAGCCACTGTCCTGGCAGGGTGCACGCTCCAGCTCCAGCACCACGATGATGTTCGGGGTCGAGGTCACCAGGATGTGCTGAGGCACGAACAGGGTCATCTGGGGGCCCCGCACTGGCCAGTAGCGGCCGAGGTTAAAGCCGTTGATCCACACCTGACCCTGGAGAGAGAGAGAACTATCAGCCGAGTGTGCTGACCCTGCTGAGGGGTGTGAGAACCTTGGTGCAGGGGAGGTGGGGTGGGGAGGCAGGCAGTGTTCCCAGGAAGATGCTCAAGTCGGGGAGGAGCTGGGTGGGAGAAGCCACTCATCCCAGTACCCACCCTGCTTCAGGAGGAGACGTGTTTGGTCCCTCCTGTGGCTTCAGTGCCGCGCAGGTCAGCGCTGGATGACGCTGCGGCACATGCACCAAGTTTCTCAATTTTGTCCCGGGTCCGGCGCGACATGGGGGTGGGGTGCCTGTCTGCACACACCCGCCTCTGCCAGAGGTAAGCAGGAGCCCAGAAGCCCAGACACACGCACCCTCTAGAAGGATGGGGGGCCAAGGAGGGAGAGGCTGGCTGCCCAGGTGGGCGTCTACCTTCTTGCTGCCTTTTGATGGTTTTCACACCAGCATAAGAGAGGTGGGGACTTGCTTCAGGGAGCACAAAGGATCCTATAAGCTGCGAGGACTTCTAGGAGTAGGAAAAGCTGCTTCCACCACAAAACCCAGAAGGAGGAAAAAAGTTCTCAGGAATGGGGACCAGGCCCTGGTGTGTCTGCACAGCATGACTGCAGGAGCTAGAATTTGCTGTCAGGTGGGACTGAGCAGTTGACGGAACAGGTGGAACATTCTGTTACAGAGAAACCTAGGGAGCGAAGGAGAGGAGGTCATACTCAAGAGGGAGACAGAATACCTGGGAGAGGATGGGAGGAAAGAAGAAGGGAGGAGGAGGGGTGGGAGGAAGAAGCATTAAAATTGGCCCCACAGTGGCCCTGATGTGTTGGGGGAACATCCTGGAGAGGGACCGCCCTGGTTGCCCCTGCAGCCCTGACCCTGAACCCAGCTCGGGGTGCTCACCCTGGAGCTAGCTCCTCAGTTCTCACCTTTGGGTAATTTTCAGCCCCCAGGGGGCCCCTGGATGCGAGCTTCCCACCTGGCTTCAGACCTTATTTCTGCCGCCTCCTGCCTGTGACTCTGGGCAGGTCCCCACTCCCACTGGCACCTGGGGACGGGGCAGGCAGAGGAAGCCGTGCGTGGCCAGCATGGCGTGGCTGCACCCCTCACGCCACCCAATGAAAAGACCTTGCCCTCCACGGCCCCGTGAAAAGAAGCCAGTGATGGAAAGCCACCTGTCTGTTGGGATAAGTCATTTAGAAAAAGGGTGACAGTTTCACACTTCTCAGAATTATTTTACTCTTGTTTTTACCACGGGATATGCTATCTTGATCCATCCTGAAGGTACACACAACGACAGCTTCACCAGGGTTTATCACATTGAAGATCTGGTGGCGCCCCGTTTCCGCAGCATTAGAGAACAGCAGAGCCAGTCTCTGCGGTCGGCGGGGGGAGACGGGCTCCAAGGGGAAGAGAGGGAGAGCGCTGTGAGCAGCACGTGTGGGTGACCCCGGCTCCACACTGTGTCCAGGCCTCACTGAGGACCAGCCCCTCCCAAGATGCTGCCCCTCCAATGCCTCTCCAGCTGCATGGAGCAGGTCTCCTGTGTTGGTTATTGGGACTGGGGAGCTGGGTGGGAAAAGGCTCGCCCTGGCTGCTTCCAGGGTTAGGGGGTGCAATTCCCCTGGTGCGGCGGGCTGGGGCCCCAGGAGCATTTTGCTTGACACTGGAAGGTGGCAGGCCCCACAGAGCCGGGCACTGTCAGGGGCTTGCCCGGGTAGACGAGGGGCTGGCACCTATGGGCTCAGCTCGCCGCTGGTCCCCCCACAACCCCAGGCCTAGCTTATCCTCCTAAATGCTGCCCTGCTCACAAATAGTGCAGTAGCTGCATGAGATAACAGCCCTAAAGAGCCCCTCCATGAGCCTCCAGGGGTACCTCTTGCTCCTGGGAGCCCCTCGAGGTGCCAACTGGACCAGCCCGGGAGGAAGATGAGCATTTCCACCTTTGATTCTCCAGTCCCTCTTCCAACTTTCGCTTCCCCAGCTGCCCCCACATTTCTGGAAGGTCCAGCTCCCACCAGTGAACACTCAGGGTGGCCCCCCTTCCCAGACTGCTCTGTGACTGATAGATGTAACCCCTAACAGTTGCTCCTAGTTGCTCATCAAAGTAGATGTAATTTTTCTTCTGACCCTCCTGGCTTTGAGTCATCTGTTTAAGTTACCTTTTCTCTCCCAAATTATCACCCATTTGGAGCCTTCAGCTCCCATCTGGATTCTGCCTCCTAACTCACCTAAATGACTCTAACATGTAGATATCGTGCCTGGCACCTTCTCTCCAATCTTCCCCAAACTCAGGATTACAGTATCTCTGTTGCTGACGGTTAGTCGCTAAGTCGTGTCCAACTGTTTTGTGACCCCACGCTGTAGGGGTCATTCTGTAGCCCACCAGCCTTCTCCATGGAATTCTCCAGGCAAGAATACTGCAGTGGATTACCATTTCCTTCTCCAGGGGATCTTCCTGACCCAGGAATCGAACCTGTGTCTCCTACATTGCAGGCGAGTTCTTTGATTTTGGTTAATTCTCAAAAGCAAGGAAAGTCGCCAGGACAGTTTCCCTCCACTCTCCTTCCCTGGGTGTTCAGTGATGCCTCTAACAGTTGGGTTGCCCTTTCAGCCCAGAGGAATGAAGGATTCCGAGAGCACAGGTCATGGTACCTAGTTCTGAGGCTCTGCTGGTCAAGAGAAGTGTCCACAGAGATGAGGGCTTGGTGCTGCCCCACAGGTAGCTACCTACACTTACCAGCGGCTGGTGGGCTGGTGCGAGGGAGGAACTAAATTTTCATTTTGAATCAGTTCAAAGGTAAATGTAAAATAGCCAGGTGGCCGGTGACTGTTGAGCTTAGCAGAGGTGTGGTGAATGCCCACCACTCCATCATCAGACCAATCTCCCTGCTCCTCTCTACTTTCACACCCAGTTCTTCAGACACATTCCAGCAGCGCTGGCTCAGGTGTCTGGAGCCACCCCCCGCCCCAACCCAGGCAGGTCCCCCTAGTTCCTCTAGCTCTAGATCCCAGGCTCCACACAGCAGCTGCATGAACATCAGACAGTTCTCATGAGGTCCTGCTTCTAAGCCCCGTATGTGGCCCATGGGCATACACCTTGGTCCTCTCGCCCTTGTGGTCAGCTCCCCGCTTTCTTCCTGCCCACACCAAGCTCGCTCACCTATGTATCATGCTTCACCCTGAGCCTGCAAGGCTATCCCCCACACTCCAAGCCTTCAGATCCCTCAAGTGTCCACCCCATCACCACCTCCACAGAGAGAAGGTCATGTCACCCTCCTCAGTCCTGGGCCTTCCATCCCAAGTCACTTGCTTGCCCTTTAATATCGTTCTTCTCGTTATTGTCATTGTTTGCACACGTAGTCACTTGTTTCACTACTGGTTTATCAGCTATTTCCAGCAGAGGCTCCATGAAGAGGAAGGCTGAGTCCATCTTGTTGAGGGAGAGCTTCTCAGCACCCAGCAGAGAGACATACGATAGATATACACCCACGACACCCAGGAGGTAAGACTGGTGGACAATTCTGCCCGGCAAATACCCAGCCCCGATTCAAGAATACTCCTGTCCCTCCCATCCCATCTTAAGAATTTTAGGGATTACTGTTCAGTGGAAGAACAATGCAGCACTTGCCTACTCCCTTGATTAACACTGTGATTTTTTAAAACACAATTTTTTAAGGCACTAAAAAAAATCCGTTTAGGACTTCCCTGGTGGTCCAGTGATTAAGAATCTGCCTGCCAATGCAGAAGGCATGGGTTCAATCCCGGGTCTGGGAAGATCCCGCATGCTGTGAGCAACTAAGCCCGTGTACCACAGCTTCTGAAGCCCACGCTCTAGAGCCCGTGCTCTGCAACAAGAGGAGGCACTGCAATGAGAAGCCGGCGCAGTGAGTGGCCCTCGATTACGCAACTAGAGAAAGCCTACGCATGGTAACTAAGACCCAGCGCAGCCAAAAAAAAAGAAAAAAAGAAAAATCACTTTAAAACAGTCAAACTGAAAAAAAAAATCTATTAAAAAAAAGTATATATATATATATACATTCTGATTCTTGTTTCTCTTTAAAAAAAATCATGCTGAAATTATTGGTGGGGGGGAGAGTAGGCCCATGTGATCTAAAAACAGAACTATAACTATTTTTTTCCCTTTTGTTCTAGCCATGTGGCCTGTGGATCTTAGTTCCCCACCCAGGGATAGAACCTGTGCCCCTTGAGGTGCAAGCTCAGAGTCCCAACCATTGGACCTCCAGGAAAGTTCCTAAAAGTAGACACACTCTTATTAATCAACACAGGTAAGTATTAATACATACTAAGGCCGGCCATCTGTAGAGCGAACACCGATGGCTTCAGTTTCCCTGGGTTGTCCCAGCTGAAACATCTCCATGACAAATGCTGACTTTCTCTGACTGTGGCTTGACCCGTGACAGACTCCCTGCTCTCTGCTAAATATTACCACCAAGGTGGTAATAGTTCCAGTGAAGGACAGGTTCCTGGCAGTGACTGATTTGCTTCTGTGTTAATCAGACAGACATGTGTCTGTCTGTTTTCAATTCTCCAGATAAATAGAACTCTCTGAGAAGAATGTAAAGCAAAAGATTCAATCCTGGTTTAACTCATAGCTTCAACATTTTCAAATGTGGTCAGGAGTTCCTTTAACAACACCAAACTTGGGTTGATCATTGACTCTGTTCTACTCTGGAAAAAGACATTTAGACACTTGGGAGGACTTAATGGTCCATTTCTCAAGGTTAAATGGTTTTCACATGCATGATTCATGAGTATTTATGGGGCTAACTTGGGAGGAAAAAGCAAAGAAAGAAAAAGTAAAACAGTGAGAGATAAGATGTTAAATAAACCTCCACACAGGAGAAAACCAAAATCTCCCCTTCCTTCAGACCCTAAATCTGTAGCTGATGCAAATCCTTTCCTTCCTCCTTTGTCTTAGAGTAAAAAGTTTACGATTTCTCTGTACTTTAGGACAGACCCAGATAGAATCGAAGCCACGAAA